AATTAAACTGCTCTTTTTGAAAACATCATATGCTGCCGGTGCATAAAAAGCAAATTTAATGAATTCCCTCTGGCAATCCTTAGATGCACCGCGCAAGTAGCAACAAAAATTCCAGTTGTAGCAGCTGCATTTATAGTTGAATTTTGATGTAGTACAAAGATAACAATGCTAGTATTTGACATTTAGGAGACGTTCTTTTCCTATTTTGTCTTGGCCATAAGTTTATTGCAATGAAGCTTAACTATAAACATTTGGAAAGGTAATTGAAGGATTTGGTGTGTCCAAAGTTTTAGACTCAGATAATTCAGACTTCAAGCCAGGTGATATAATCTCAGGGTTCACTGGTTGGGAAGAATACAGCTTAATTTACAAAACCGAGCAGCTGAGGAAAATTCAGGCTGATGATATACCTCTCTCGTATCATGTCGGTCTTCTTGGTATGGTTAATCTTGACCTTAAGTCTCTTAACTTTATTAGCACCATAACATCCATATAATTTAGTAGGCGTTTGGACATAAGAATTGTAAAATTTCAAAAAATGGTGAAAAACATTTTCAAGTGAAAATGGTATTTGAAATTTAGAGTTGTGTTTGAACATAAATTTCAGTTTGGGTTGTTTTTTAAGTTTTGTAAGTGATTTGAGTGAAAATTTTGAAAAACAGCTTTTTGGAGTTTTTCAAATTTTCGAAAATTTCCTAAATGCATTTTAGTTTGGAAATTTTACGAACAAACGCTAATTTCGAAAAAAAGTGAATTTTTTTTGGAAAAAAAAGAAAAAAAAATTTATGTCCAAACGGGCTCTTAGTTTCTTCGTCTGAGCTTTGTGCAAGCTTGTTTTCACCTCTTTAGTATCAATTTCTTTTATCACCAAACTAGTGCTTTTGTGTTCAATGGGATACACAGTTTCTATTTTTCTGAGCTAAAATTTCTTGATCTGCACTGGTCCATCAATGCAAAGTTACTTATCAAAAAATAAATAATTGAAAAGAAAAAAAAACGTCATATAGTTAGACTTCCTCTTTTAAGAGAATTTAAGACCTTGCATCTCTCAAGTTGAGTGCTGGTTATGGAACTCTCTTTCCATTTTGTGTTTCATGATTGCTTTACTTCTGAAACGTTTTCTTCGATATGCTAAATCCCACCCCCAAGTCCCCAAAATCAGGAGCCCAAAAGTGGGACTTTTCCACTTTGCTCTCTTGGTGATCGAATTACTCTGTCACCTTACCCTGCTATTTTAAGTTTGCTATTACTAAAAATCTTTAGCTAATTTCAGATATCTGCAGTTTAAGCCGATCTACTTTTGTCGTCCGTTATGGGAATTTTTTAGACGTGATTTTCCAGTTATTTTTCAATGTCTCGTTGCTTCTTCAAGAGTCTGATGAATGTGGACTTTATTCAGGCATGCCAGGTTTTACAGCTTATGCTGGATTTTATGAGGTTTGCGTACCTAATATAGGAGAATATGTTTTTGTATCTGCTGCCTCAGGAGCAGTTGGCCAGCTTGTTGGCCAACTAGCTAAGTTACATGGATGTTACGTTGTAGGAAGTGCCGGGTCAAAACAAAAAGTAAGTCTCCTGCCGCAGATTGTGAGGTCTCTTAGAAATTGCATTGTTACTTTCATGTTATTGACTGCAAATTCAACCTCATATTTTTAGGTTGACATATTAAAGGATAAGCTTGGATTCGATGGAGCATTCAACTACAAGGAAGAAGCAGACCTTGATAAAGCTCTTAAAAGGTGAGGGAAATGTCTAAACAAACTTTAACTGTCGGAAAGTGGAGTAACTTAGAGCCAGAGGCAGATATAGGGCGGATTTTGTGGGCTCAAATGGATTCATCATTTTCTTGTCGAACTATACATATGGAAAAAAAGAAAAGTACACATATAATAAGATCACACTCATTCCGAACCCAACTGAGTCTAATCCTGGATTCGCCTTTGCTTAAAGCATTATAAAGATGAACGAAGTCTATTTTCATATTAACAATCAAATCTAACTCTTGTTTTCACTTTGCTTGATAGACACTTTCCCGAGGGCATCGACATTTACTTTGACAACGTAGGGGGATCCATGCTAGATGCGGCATTGATCAACATGAGGATTAACGGCCGAATTGCCATCTGTGGGATGGTATCTCAGCAAAGTCTTTCTGATCCGCAAGGGATACACAACTTGATTCAACTCATCACGAAGCGTGTTAAGATGCAGGGCTTTCTCCAAAGTGATTATCTTCATTTATTTCCGAGCTTTCTTGAAGATGTTACTAGTTTGTGCAAGGAGGGAAAGATTACATATTTAGAAGACATGAATGAAGGCCTTGAGAGTGGTCCGTCTGCTTTTGTTGGGCTATTTTCTGGAAAGAACATAGGTAAACAGGTCATCCGTGTGGCGCACCATTAGACTATATCAGACCCCTCATTTGCTCTATAGATATAAAGATCTTACTTCTATCTCCGAGCTTGACAATCTAGTACTGTTCCAGTTTTATTTAACAAACAATAAAAGAACCAGGTTGTTTAGATCTTTGTAATAGTCTTCTATCAGGCAAGTCTTTTGTTCTTTTTTTGTCGCCGCTTGTGAATATTCGGAAATATGTTAAAATTTAGAATTAATACCCTAAAACCCCCTTAAACTATCACATTTTTGTTAGTTTCCTACATAAAATTCGGTGTCCCCAAACCTCCCCCGAACTATGTTGTCCTTCATATTAAATCCCTTTGTTGCTGACCTAGCATAACGTGTGAAAATACTTGGCTCACGTGACAGAAAATAATGACTAATTAGCCTAAACAACAACAATAACAATTCAGTATAATCCCACTAGTGGGGTCTGGGGAGGGTAGTGTGTATGCAGACGTTACCCCTACGCTGGGGTAGAGAGGCTGTTTCCGATAGAAACACAGCTCCCTCTCTCCAAGAACTCCCACCCTGCTCTTGGGGTGACTCGAACTCACAACCTCTTGGTTGGAAGTGGAGGGTGCTCACCACTAGAGCAACCCACTCTTGTCAATTAGCCTAAACCTCTTTCAAATTTATTTTTAATAAATATTCTCCTTATTTCAGTTATATCCACCTTTCTTCCTCAGTTTTTCACCATTCTTCCTTATTTTTCACCTTTCTTCTTTATTTTTCACCTTCTTCTTCTTCTTCATTTTTAACATTTTTCCTTCAGTTTTCCATGTGGGTTTTCACTGAAAAATTTTCCCCTCTCTTGTTTCCTCTGAAATGATTTATTCTCTTTCTTGTTTTAGTCTTCTTTCATGTCTTACACATATGGTTGAAAGAATACCAATTTAAATCTTCTTATTAAATTCAACACCTTGTAGAGAAAATGTTGAATCTCTTGAACTTTCTTTATCTAATCTGGAATTAGAGAATGTAATTGCTAGCCAATTGATTTTTTAAGAAATGCAACACTATATGCCTTTATTTATATTTTTACGTATTGTGCTACAAAGTGAATATAAATAAGGACTTATTCAATTGGAGTTTAGCATAAAGCACAATCACAATTAAACCTAAAATTAATACAGTTTATTAGCTATTTATTTTGGCCAAAACTCCTAAAATTAATACAGTTTATTAGCTATTATTTTGGCCAAAACTCCTAAAATTAATCAATCATTCGAGAATAACACATCATGAGTAAACTATATAAAAAACTTTGTACAAACCACAAGTTAATANTGGGGTGGGGCACTAGATAGTTTAAATAGGGAACTGACAAAAAATGATAGTTTAGGCGGGTTTAGGCTGAGTTAAATAGCCATGTGTAGTACTACATGGCACGAATTTTAGAAAATTAGGAGCATGTACTAGACAAATCTCTAAGAATGCAATGAGAGAGTCTTAATATGAAGGGCAATATAGTTCAGGGGATTTTGGGAACACCGAATAGTTTAAGTAGGAAACTGACAAAAAATAATAGTTTAGAAGATTTTAGGGTATTAACTCTAAAATTTAAGATTGCATTTATAAAAGAGTTAATATCCTAAAACCTCCTTAAACTATCATATTTTTGTTAGTTTCTTGCTAAACTATTCGGTGTTCCCAAATTCCTCCGAACTATATTGCCCTTTATATTAAAACTTCCTCGTTGATGACGTGACATAACGTGTTTAAATACTCGCTTGGGAACGCGTGACAGCTTAAAAAGGCTATCAAAATGGTCCACTTTACATAATATAATGGCTAATTAGCCTAACCCTCTTTTAAACTTATTTTTTTAATAAATATTCTCCTTATTTCAGTGCCACGTGTGCATGCCACGTGGTGTCCACCTCATAAAATCTAGTGCCACGTGTGATTAGGCGTCCACCTATATAGAACAACTCCAACGGAGGAAGGGTTTATTTGATCCATTTGGGTAACTTTAGGTGTATTTTTAGACAAATAGTATAACAGAGGGTAAACTTAATCTTTTTTGCACAGTAGAAGGACAATTTTGACCTTTTCTCCTTAAAAATTTGCTGACACACAAGTTGTCCGTGAAGACTTGTGGTCAACATATAATAGTCCGCTCGGAGGTATGACCAAGTTATGACGATCTAGTAGGAGGCAAGGCAAATTTTGCCCATATATCATAACTTAATTTTTTCCTAACTTATTTAAATAGGGTAACAACTTAACAATCACATTAAACAGATCCTATTTATGGCCGTGGTTAAAATATGGAATCTTTAGGTGTTGTTATTCAATGGTATCTTGACAATCTTTTTAGAGTTTTAAGTTATATATACACTTTTGCAATATAAAGATTTTTATGTGATGGTGTAATTTTTTTTCTTTTTATAGAACTTATACTCTTAATTTTGTGACCAAAAAAATACTTCATATTTCCTTATATAATGTCATTCTCATGGCTTTTGTCCAATCACAATACGTTATTCATCCAAGATTCCAAATCAATAATATCATGGTTCCAATTTTATGGATGGCCCCGAAAGGACCAAATCAAGAATATTAGGAAAACCAAAATATTGTGCAATCTAAGAGTAAATATATACACACACACCCCCTTCTCCCCCCCCTTCTCTCCTTTATTTTTTTTGATATATAAACCGTTAAACTTAAACCCCTCCTCCCCTTAATTCCCCTTAAATTCCATAGCTTTGCGCCTGCAATCTTCGTCCCCTAACATCTTCAGGTTTCTTCTCCCCTTTACCCCCTTAAAAATCATAGAATGGCACTTAAAACTTGCGGTTTATTTTTACAAACAATTTTTAAAAAGTGTATCGTTGTATTGTACTGCATTTTTCGCTCTCTCATTCTGAATGCGTCTCTACTAATTTTGAAGTTTAAAGTTTTAACAATCTCTAATTATGTATAGTTTCAGGTCGCATTGATCACTAAAATCAGCGGTTGATTTGACTGTTAACTTGTAACGGTCTCAGTTAACAAAAGTTATCGCCTTTTCTTTGCCGCCGGCGAAGACGTCCGTTAATTCCGTCGACGGCTTGCTGGTGAGATTTCTTTTTCAATGTTCTGCTACTAAAAGATTTTTCTTTTAATTAATAGGTTCCAGTTTTTAAACTTGTGGGTGGAAATTATTGTCCTTTTACACACATCATAGAGGTTATTTGGTAAGCTTATAAGCGGATCAAACTAGCTTATAAACACTTTTTGGCTTATCTACGCGTTTGGTAAAGTTAAAAGTCAAAAATAAGCCAAAAGCCATAAGCTGGTCACCCACTGCTTATGAATTTTTAGCTTATAAGCATTTAAGTTTGACCAAAATTTTTACTATTTTATCCTTAAAATATTCTTTTTTAGGAAAAAACTCTTACATCGATACTCACTGCCTCAAGTATTGTTTCAACATAAACACCCTGCCTCTTCAAGTTTTGAATTCTCATTGACTATTTAAGATAAGCAAATTCTCTATTCCTTTGCATATTTGTATCTTTGTGATAGTGTATTAATCTTTAAACTGTATGTAATAAATGAGGGCTTATCAAAATTTTTGGTGTATTACTTTGAATACTTTTTAAGTGTTGTAGTGATGAAGACAGTGTTTATTTCTCTTCATATATTTTGTCCTATTTAGGTTTATTTTTTACTGAGAAACTTTTGTCAATTCATTAACTATTATAACTTATAATTATATGCTTATCATAAAATAAATTATATTTATCATAAAAATTATTTTATCTAAGCACATTTGTATTTAAAATAAAATGACAAATAGAATATTTTGTATTTGAATCGATCTGGAATCTAAAATTTTGAAAAAATTACGCCCTTGTAAATATAAATCATTATAAGGTTATTTAAGTCATTTTAATAGAAAAAGAGCTTATCAGCACTTTTTTATCAAATGCTGCAGCAGCTTATTATTAATTTCAGCACTTGTATCCAAACACGAAACTGCTTATTTATTAAATCAGTTTCAACACTTAAAAAGTGCTTTTCAGCACCTAATACTTATTAGCTACTTCTAATCAGCTAATCCAAACGGGCTCATAGTTCTTTTTCATATCACTTGTGTCAGGTAGACATTAATTTTAATCTTTAATACTAAAAGATATTACTCTTTCCGTCCCAATTTATGTAATGGTATTTGACTTGACATGAAGTTTAAGAAAAAAAGAAATAATTTCGAAATTCGTGGTCTAAAACAAGCCATAGACCTTTTCCTTTTGATAACGGTGGTGTCATTACTAGCTTGCGCGCACATGGACTAATTCCATGATATACCTGTTATCTTCCACCAGCAACAGGTATCGGATAATTCTATCCACCAAGGCTTGGACAAATGGTAAGAATCACCTAGTATTTTTTGTCTTCGCTGGGATTTGAACATGAGACTTCATAGTTCTCAACCCACTTCATTGACTACTAGGCCACAATAAGGCATAGACTTTGTGTGATTATAAACCATCTCATTTAAGTGTAAAATCAAAAGTTTTTAAAGTTAAATTATTTCTAAAAATAGAAATGTGCTCTTTTTCTTGGAACAAACTAAAAAGGAAAATGTACCACGTAAAATGGGACACAGGAAGTAGTATAAATGCATTTTTTGGTACTTCATGGGTGATCCTCCTTTTTAAAAAGGATTGTCATATGTTACGTTATACGAAAGCAACTACTTGAAAAAAGATCCTGTAAATGATTCTACAAAGTAAAATATTTTTCATGGAAAACATTTCCGCTCATATCAAACGCACATGATGTATCTCTCTTGTTTTCTGTGTGAGATCAAGTGGTCTTGGGACAGAGGTTTTTCCATTTTTCTGACTTGGAATTTTTTAAATTTAGGTGGGAAATTTGTTTAGTAATTGATGGCAGCTCCAGGGGGACCTAGACCAGGGAATATACCACCCAATTACAATCCTAATGCACTTGCTGATGGAATGCAAAATTTGCAAATTAATAGACCCAATCGCCCGCCTTCAAACCCCAGTGGTAGTCCTAGGCCTAGTGCAACGCCTTCTGGGCAGCAGCCACCTCCTTTTGCTGGTGTGCCACCTGAGAGTCGTCCAGGACCTCCTCCACCTGGCGCATTCCAAAGGGGTCCTACGCAAGCTACATTGCCTCCCAATTTAATTTCTAGACCATCTGGCCCTCCTTCTGTGGGTCAACCTACACCACCCTTTGCATCTAGGCCGCCTCTTGCTGGTGCAGTGCCTCCTTCTGTGGGTGGTACTGCCATTCGCCCGCCACCTAGTGCTTTGCCTTCTGCACAAGGTCCTCGTGCCGGCCCACCAGGACCTTTTGCTGCTTCAACAAGCCCTCTTGTGCCGCCTTCTGGTGTTTCTAGTTCAGCTAGTAATGGTCCACCTGCACTTGGTCCGGGGACAATGCAGAATGGACCACATTTTTCTCCGGCAAGCAATACAATGAGGCCACCAGCTGGAGCTCCTCCATCAGCAATGTTATCATCTGGAACTCCTTCTCACCCTCCAAGGATGCGTTCACCCTTTGGAAGTCCACCTGCCAGCACAACATCAGTTACTGCACAACCGCCACCTCCATTTCCGGGATCAGCTCACAATGTGCCACCTCCTTCAGGTTCCTTCCCCTTTGCATCACCAGTCCCAGCCATGCCTCCTCCTATGAGTGCTGCTTATGGAATGCAGACATGGCACACGCAGCCTCATCAGGTAAAATATGCTTACCATATTGTCATTGTACTTTTAAGGTAATATGTTTCGACTTTCCTGAAATTAGTGTAACAGTTGTGCGCATATCCTATTTAAGGAAAAATACAATATAGTTTACATCCATGGTAACAGAGAATTTATAGCTAGTTTATTTGCCAAGTGTAGTAGCATGACATATGAAACTTAAGAGACAGATGTGAATAACAAGTTATGAGATACTTATTGCTCCATTATTCACACTAGTAAAAGTCAACAATTTATCGCAAAGAGATTACAGCTCAAGGGAGTTCAGAAAATATATATAAGTTGTCTACACCACTTACATTTTTTTGTTTGATCAGTAAGTCACAGGAGAATTATGAGTTTAATGAGTTCTGTAAACATAAAATTAGCTGCTTCTTGGTTCTGGCTGCAGAAACAGCTTCAAGGCTTCAGTAAGCCTAATGATACAAGAGATTCTCACTGACTTAATTGATAGAAAGAATCTATCATGTTGAGAATCATGAAGCCTTTTGATGCTGTTTACCAGTAACTTAGCAATACCTTGCTTCTATTGGGCTGTTAGGAAAAGGGCAGCCTGGTGTACAAGCATCCTGCGTTCACGCAGGGTCGGAGAAGGGACCGCACCCAACAGCCTAACCTAATGCAAGCATTAGTGGCTGCTTCCACGGCTCAAACCCGTGACATATTGGGCTGTTAGTATCGACAAGAAATTGATTTTTGAAGTAGTAGGGTCTTAAAATGGAGAAAGCAATTTAAGACCTTACCATGAGGTAAAGGGCATAAAGTGAAGAAAAGTAGAGAAGAAGAAATTAAGTCATTTTGTGTTGAAGGCTTAGAAGTCCCTTTAGATAAGGTTTCATTCATTAGATAAGTACCTTCATAATCTTTGTGAACTTGAGATGAGATAACCAGAGACTTTACATTGATGATCATGAGTTATTATGTTCATTCACTGTCTATGCTTGACAATTGTGCTTCAAACCAATAACCTTATAAAACAAATTAGCTACATTGCTAGCTTGAGGAACAACAACAACAAAAAACCCAGTAGTCTCCCACGAGTGGGGTCTGGGGAGGGTAAGATGTATGCAGCCTTACCCCTACCCCTGGAAGGGAAGAGAGGCCGTTTCCGATAGACCCTCGGCTAGAGAACGACTGAAAAAGAAAAGGTAATTGCAACAAGTAGGAATAACAGCAAGATGAAATAAGATCGAATCCAAGAATGCATTCAAACTCTAGGTAGTAATAGCCATCTATGAATAAAAGATAACATACTAATACTAATGCTAGTGAATTGAGTAAGACAAAGCTCGACTACCTACTAACCTTCTACCCTAATCTTTGACCTCCACACCCTCCTGTCTAGGGCCATGTCATCAGTCAGCTCCAGCTGCGCCATGTCCCGCCTAATAACCTCTCCCCAACTAAGTTGCTCAGACTCGGGTGCGGGTGTCCGATACGGGTGCGTATCTAGAGGTCAGATCCTTCATGATCTAAATTTAAAGATTAGGGGGTACGGATCCAGGTACGGACACGGGTGCGGGGATTCGGCTAAAAATAATTCAATTATTTAAAAATAGAGTTATAAAAATATGTCTAAATTATGAGACATTATGTGAAAAACTTACAAGGTATACCGAGAAGGAGAAAATATTGAACAAGAGTAGAATTTTAGAAGGAGATAAAAAAAAAGGACTAACATAGAAATTTATATATACAAGGTATTCCATTTTCTTCCATATCACCCTAGCTTTTGATTTGTTTTCAAAAATCATTGTATCTGTCCCAAATTTCTCCGTATATTTTGGTCAAAGTACCCAAAATTGGTTGACCAGATCCGACACGGATCCCACACCCACACCCACGTCGTGTCGACACGGGTGCGACACTGAAAGTGAAGAGTCTGAGCAACTTAGCTCCCCAAGACTTCTTAGGCCTACCTCTACCCCTCCTGCTGCCCACCGAGGCTAACCGCTCACACCTTCTAGCTGGGGCTTCTATACTTCTCCTCTTAACATGCCCAAACCATCTCAACCTTGCCTCCTGCATCTTATCCTACACAGGGGCCCCTTCCACCTTTTCTCGAATAATTTCATTCCTACTATTATCCAACCGGGTATGCCTATACATCCACCTCAACATCCTCATCTCAGCTACTTTTAGCTTCTGGGTATGAGAGTTCTTAACCGATCAACACTCTGCTCCATACAATATAGTCGGTCTAACTACAACCTTGTAGAACTTACCTTTAAGTCTCAGCGGCACATTCTTATCACACAAGACACCGGAAGCGAGCCTCCACTTCATCCGTCCTGCTCCGATATGATGTGTGACATCTTCGTCAATCTCCCCGTTACCTTGTATTATAGATCCAAGATACTTGAAACTACCTCTCTTGGGGATGACTTGAGTATCAAGCCTCACCTCCATATCCCCTTCTTGGGTACCGTTGCTGAACTTGCACTCCATGTATTCCGTGTTGGTCTTGCTCAACTTGAAACCCTTAGACTCTAGGGTCTGCCTCCAAACCTCCGGCCTCTCATTAACACCACCCCGCGTCTCGTCAATTAAAACTATGTCATCAACAAATAACATACACAATGGTACCTCGCCTTGAATGTGACTCGTCAATGCGTTCATCGCCAAGGAAAATAGGAATGGACTAAGAGCTGATCCCTGGTGCAACCCCATCCTAACCGGAAAGGGTTCCGAGTCTCCTCCCGCTGCCCTAACCCGAGTCTTAGCTTCATTATACATGTCCTTAATCACCCTAATGTAGGCTATTGAGACCCCTTTAACCTCCAAGCCTCCAAGCTAGCTTGAGGAAGTATTTTCTTAATTTTTAACAGGAGTAAATTCAATAAAAGATAATTCAAATTTTTAATAGGAGTAAATTCAATAAAAGATAATTCAAATTTTGATATACTATATAGTTTCTATACACTCACTTTACCAGGATGATGTAACTCATTTATGGTGTTGTGAAGTTAGTGTCATAAGATTGCTCATTGATGCATGGTGATGCTTAGATCAGTCGCTTCTTGGAATTCCTGTAGCTGCTCCCTTGACCGTCTCTTTACCTATATCTAATGAAAAAATGTGTATCCTACTTGGTGTGACATTTCAACATTAACCTTTGACTCCAAAAGCTTTCTCATTATAGGGGTCGATTTTTTTGGAAAATCCTTTGGGCTTTTGATGCTTATAGTTTGTGATTGTAATTCTTGTAGATTCATAATATTGTTCCAGTATAGGTAGGTTAAATTCCTTATTATTTCATGTGAATGAAGATGTCCTTTAGGTAGAAGCATACTGCTGGCAGATCTTTTTTCTGTTTGTGTCTAGCCTGTTAAGAGCGAGAACCAGCATGTTTAGCTATGTTTTCTACTGTCCGCCAGAAATTGGCAGAATACACAAGCAACAGTATGCTTTGTCAAGGGAGAAGTAAAGACTATTTCCTCTAATCTAATTAGGAAACTCTATAAATTCTCAAGCTTCTTGTCAATCTTTACTTCAAGACCATAACATACGCCAAGTCGCGTGCAAAATCCTTTAATCAAGTCTTCTGCTATCAATTACCATGAATAAAGAATGATGTGTATGCTTTGATCAACCCAGATCTTTCCTATGGGAAAAGAGATTCATGCTCTCTTCCAAACTCACCTTTGTTATTTTCGATTAGAGTAACTCTGAGCCATTCCTTTTATATGAAAAAGAGTGTAGAGTAACACTGAAAAAAGTTGGATCTTCTTCTTTTGAATTTTCAGAAATGTTGAAGTGTGTGAGAATCACATCTAAATACTTAAACTGTTAGAGAGCACATATTATCTGTTATATTTCTGTATTGCTGTAATAAACAATTAAACTTTCTGAAATATATAAACAAAACAGAAAGTTAGTAATACTTATTTAACGAAATAAATTCTGAAAAAAAACAGTATAGGAATAAATCGAGCCCACTGAATACACAGTGTGTCCTTAAGGAAATTATTCCCCTCAAGTACCCGAGGTGCTGGAATATATCCTCCCAGGATAGAACGATTTAACTCACCGAAGTGTTGGTACCAAACGCCGGTGAACAACGAGCCACTCGAAGGCTGTAAAACACACTGGATTTTTTGTGCAGAAGAAGAAGAAGAAGCAGCTCCGAAAATTTCGTAAGGAAAGATTCTGGGATTCAAACTCTATTTATAGAGTTGCTGGCATTGTTTCCGAAAAGGTTTGCAACCTTTCAGAAACAGCCATGGCTGTTGGAACAGGGTTGTTTGAAATATTGCGGGAAAATGGATTTAAAATAATCCGGGAAAGAAATCGGCCTGACCGGATCGGGTCGCGGGTCATGGTTTATTCCGGATTGAATTTTTCGTTAATTATTTAATTAATTAATTAAATAATTGAAAGGAATTTTGTCCAAAAAGATTAATCAATCAATCGATCTTTCACCAAATCCGAATCCGAATCCGAATCCGAATCTGAATCTGAAGCCGAAGCCGAAGCCGAGCCGAGTGAGCGACGACGACGACGACGACGCGAGGCTTGCCTTCTTCTTAACTCTTTAAGAGCTAGAAGAAGAGCAATTATATATATACCCATCAAAAGCCTTTTCTTCCTCCAATATGGGACAATGTCACTTTGCCAAGGAGGGAAACTCAAATATTTCATTTTTTCCTCCATTTCTCATTCACGNAACAACGAGCCACTCGAAGGCTGTAAAACACACTGGATTTTTTGTGCAGAAGAAGAAGAAGAAGCAGCTCCGNTTTTTCCTCCATTTCTCATTCACCCTCTTTAAGCTACACAAGCTTAAAATCCCAACAATCCCCCACATGAATGGGGAATGGCTAAAAAATAAAGGAATGCACGGACGCGTGTGTGTTTTACATGCAAGACTTAATTGCATCTGGATAA